TATTTCTAACCTGATATTTTAAAATTCTGGTAGGTATTAGCAAATCAAATTAGCCAAGCAACATTATGGATAAGAATGTGTTCTCTTACTATTGCTGATTCTGTCATTCATCATACTGACTGGAGTTGAACTGGGTAGAATCAAACTAGACAGAGTTTGGCTAGACTAGCCTGGAAGCCTTCTCTGTACCCATTTGCTATAGCAGTTCCATCTGCTTGTTCCATTTAAGTCCCTAACCATACCTGTAGATTCCCCATCTATAACAGCTTGTGGTTTTGTTGTCTCCTTGCCAGTATGACAGCAAAGATCCTTTTCAGCTTCATTATCCATGTTGGACCTGACATTTGAGCTTATTACTTGCCTTGCTTTAATCTCATGAAAATCCTGGCACCTATATTACTAAGGCTGCTCTGGCCTGGAACCCAATCATCCCTAATGCTCCTTTCATGACCATCTGTTAACTCCTTGATCTTTCACTTCTCTCTTTTTGCCGACTTCTGCTCCCTTACCTGGCACATCTAAATTATTTTCCAAGTCTATACAGGACACTGCATTTTTCCTTAAATCTAACATCTCCTTTTTATTTCTATTTTCTGCTCCCTAAATCTAATCTTGACCTCTCACCCCTGAACATTGTCTCCCAATGTATTTCCCTACCTCTGATTCTTCCACTCTCATCGGTCCTAATATTCTAATCATAGCATTCCTCTACCCAAAACCCTTAAGTGTGTGTCTAAATTAAGATTGGGGTGGCCTCCACAGTATAGCTTTTATCTTTTCTGCCATATTTTATTGAATGTACCTGATATTTTAGTCAAATGCCTACTATTCTTTGAATTCTCCCCCATATTATCTCACCATTCAACATCGTCATCTAATCAACTTTTGCAGAGTACATATCACGTTCTAAGCACTCTCTGAGCTAAGCCTTGTGGAGTTGGAGGACACTAAGTCTTCTGAGGTTATCAGATATAAACAAGTAATGTTTATATGAAGTGATGAACACAAAGGAAATCAAAGTTCTTTGGGAACACAAAGAAGGGAATAAACTAATTTTGAGGTGGGAAGAGTCGAGGAAGTTGTCAATGAAAAATTGAGGGAATAGGAGAGTGAAGTGAAGAGGAAGCTAGAAAGGGGAGAAAGGGGAGGAATGGGGAAAGGGAGAAGGTTGGGGGAGGCATCCTAGGTAGAGAGAATATCAAGTGCAAGAAGCCTGGAAACAAAAAAAAAATGATCAAGCATATTAAGGGAACAGAGAAGCTTAGAATGTTTGGGGAGTATAGGAGGTAAACAGAATGAAAGGAGAATAGAACTTGAGAGGCTGAGAGATTTAGAATGGTGTTAAATGAAAGACAAAACAGAAATGTTTAAAGCAAGTTCTCAGGCATATGATCTTGTAGCCATTGTTTACAGAATACACTGTAGTGCAGAGAGACTCGTGACATCTGATAACATTCCTTTAGCCTGGGATGCCTTTCTTTCCTCTATACTTCCCCATACATACCTCTTGAAAGACCATTTTTAAAGGTCATCTCAAATGTTGTGTCTCTTTCACTGTATTGTACATTTGTTAGAATTTGTCTATAATTTGTTTTTCCCAATATACTCTGAACACCTTGAGAACATAGATCTAATATGATTCATCTGTCTTTTCTGCTGCAGTGCATGGTACTAACATGAGCACAAGTGGAACCTAGTCAGTTGTTGAATTAATTTAAATGGTATCCCAGAGATCATCACTACTCAGATCCCAAAGGTTATGTTGTTGAAGGCTCACAGGCAGAAACATGATTTATTTTATGCCTTGCTCTTTTTCCAGTTGGAAAAAGCCAAGGACAGCCCCCAGCACAAATGTTGGTGTGGGTCATCTGGACTGTGAGACCTGAGGCTTAAAGATCCTTGGGAAAGAGCATAGCAGCCTACTGGGACACGAGCTATGAGCCCTCCTCAAGCCCAACCAAGGGTTAGAACAAATAGGAAGGGTTACTTTTCTTGCTTAATGGAGCATTTCCTAGCTTCAAAATACCTGTCTCCATGCTAATATTATTTCAGTGCCATTACACTGCATGATTTACCATGATAAGCAAAGCCATTTATTGTACATTATTCAAACAGTGCTTATCAATTTTAGCTCAAAATAGATTTTAAAAAACCCCACAAAGGTTGTCCTAAAATTCTAATCAGTGGGGAAAAGCTAAGGCAAACCCAGAACTATTTTTGCATTATAGCTATAAAAAATTATAATCCTCCCAATTCATTTTTATAAACAGCTAAGGTATAAGTAAATGAAAATGTGAGAAAACATATACCTTTAGGTTGTCTCATTTAGAGCTGAGATTTCAAGTCATAGGAAAGGACTAACGGATTGTCTGTTTATAGTTTAGCCTTCTAGTTTTGTAGAACAATGTCCCAAACAACTGATCACTGTTAAGTTAACATTTATGATACTCAGTTTTCCCTTTTAAAAAAAGTGGGAACCACTCTGACTGGTATGGCTCAGTGGGTTGAGCATTGTCCTGCAAATTGAAAGGTCACCACTTTGATTCCCAGTCAGGGCACAGGTCTGGGTTGTAGTCCAGGTGTCCAGTTGGGGGCATGCAAAAGGCAACTGATGGATGTTTCTTTCCCACATTGATGTTTCTCTCCTCTTTTCCCCTCCCTTCCTTAATCTCAAATAAATAAATAAATAAATAAATAAATAAATCCTTTTGAAAATAAAAAATGGGAACCTAGTAGAACCAACCATATAAGGTTATTATAGGTACAAAATGAGATAATTTCTGTAACTGTGTGCAGCCTACCCCTAGTGAGTGCATACATTCTCTTTTCACCCTTTCCCAACTCAAGCTCCCATACCCCTCTGCACCTCTTCTTTATCTCTTGCCAAACTATATTTCCTCTGTGTGTATTCCCTTTACTGCAGAGCCATAAATCCTGGGTGCTTGGTCAGATTTTCTATTAAAGGAAATTTATGTCCTTATGGAAATAACATCCCAGAATAAAGTTACAACAGCACTAACATGTTCCCTGACATAGTCTTGTCAGAATTATCTGACAAAACTAGATAATTCTTCATACTTAAATTTATTGCTCCTATATATATTTTATGGTAAATTACTTTTTACTAACAATCAATACTTGTCTGAAGCAACAGTTGTTTATTTCACTACCTGAAAGGGGGTGAAGTACAGATTAGTAACATATGGGAATTTATGTTTCAAAAGGCTTTTTTGGGACAGGGATTGGAAATGTTGGGAATTAAGGAAAAACCATTTTGTATTTTAAGAAAAAGAAACACCTAGTCTTTTGGTCAGGAGACTTGGTTTCCTTTCATCGATCTACCATTATGTTATTTTGTGACATTGTTTTATTTTTGTTTCTCTGTGACTTGGTCTTCCTGGTGATAAAATGAACTTCCTTGTATTTAACTTTAAGCATAAGAGACAAGAAGACACCAAATTATTGAAATTTACAAATAATTTTCCCCTTCTCAAGTCCCTGCCAAGATGGAATTAGTGGAGGATTAAAGAGGAGTAAAATGATACCTGAAGTTCTACTGAGTTTCTTAAAAAGAAAGATGCAATCCATGATTCCATCTGACCCATAGGGTCCTCTCAGAGGCACAGGTTCAGCCATCTGATCTGTCCATTCAGTTCCACCACAAATGAGCCCTCCATGCCAAGGGAGGGGGACTTTAATATAGCTAGTACTCCTTTCTACCTTTTAAAAGTCTCCAGCCCTTCTTTCTATGAAAGTACAACAATAAACATCACTTTCTTTTTTCTTTGGCACCTGTGATTTATTGGCTACTCTTAAGTCAGATATTGTACAAAAAGAGAAAAATGGGGTAATTGTCATATATGAATGTCAAGAGAAACCCAGGATCATCTAACATTTAAAAAAAACTGAATGATTGCCTAATGCAGACTTATTATTTTACAGATAAGGAAATAAGCTTAAGTAGGTAAAATATCATATAGATTGAACTATGTAAAACTGTATCTTCTTACTGCTTTTTGTTTCCTCGGTGTTGTGCCTACCTTTTATAGTATATGCATGCATTAGAAGAAGTGAGTATACAATTGAGACGACTGCAATAGCTGCTTGGCCATCAGCAGTCTGTGCTTTTTGATACAGAAATGAATACTTGGCTGAGAAGAAGATCTAGAAAAAGGGAGATTGGGAAGAATAAGAATTTACAGATGTTGTAGTGGTGTATGGTAGACACTTCATCTACGGTGGTCTTGACTTCTATCATTTGGTATATATCTACCACCTAGGTAGGTGACCAGGAGATAAGAGGCTGCAGATATGTGTTTTATGCCCTAAAATGTAAAATGATGCTGTGACTTTTTCATAAATTCCAGATATTTTTGTAGTCCATCTTAAAATTCTGCTGTGGACTTGGCGGAGTACTTGTCAATACCAGAGTTAAAGTCATTAAAGTAAAGAAACCAAAAAATTAATTGTCTACCTCTTCATTCTTAGCAGTTGAATTTTAAGGCACAGAGAGAGAATAACTGAATGTGATGTATATATGTGTGTATGTATGAATTGGCTTGTTTTTTGAGAGCTTCAGATCATCTGAAGTAGAAATGAAGCAAACAGAAATAAAACCAATCTCCACAAGAACATACCCTTTAACCCCAGGTTACTCTGGACTGCACTTTGCATTCTTTGTAATTGGACAGCCATGCTTAAATTAAATGGGTTATTATCTTGAAGAAGATGTAAGTTTGCCTGCTTCCTGAGATTTTACATTTGAATAGTTTGGTGGCTTAGAAGGGGTGTAAGGATCTAGGATGTATGAATGAAGTGTGAGTTTCCAAATTGATTTATATGGTATATATAAACAATGAAACAAAAACAATAGCAGTAATGAAGCCACTCTGGAAACAGGTAAATTCCAGTGAGCGTTTTAAGACCTCTCTAGCTGAAATAACCTTAAAACAGAGAAAAACAAGTTTAATGATTGATATATATATATCTGAAATGTGCAGGTTGGACAACATTTGGACTTGGAATGAAACAATAAGAGGTTACATTCATGGATAACCAACAAGATAAGGCTGTTGTTGCCTCAGCCAATGGAGAAAACACTCTGATTAATGGGGTCAAAGAAAATGGTAAGGGAATTTAATTATAGTACGTAATATCTTTCCCAACATAGATTTTTAGTATCCACAATGTTTGGGCAGGTTAAGTCTAGAATACCTCTAAGATATATCTTAATCCTAAATTTTATTCTACCAAATCTCTAACTGGGATAGACGGGTCTCTAAGACATATCTAATTCAACCACTTTGCTCTCTCAAATTATCTCTGTCAGATGAATACTTAAGTTCTTCAAAATTCCTAGTGAATTAGAAATGTGCCCTGATGTGAGTCTTGGAATATCTAGATTTAGTATGAGCTTTCAGAACAGAGGTCTGAAAAATAAGACTGAGCCTCATAGCTCAGAACCATGAAGATCCCATCTGAACATTTTCTTACCATGAAAGCCTTGACTTTCTACTTGATCATGCACTCAGTCCAATTATTTCCTCATTTCTGAAGAAAGTCTCTGAAGAAAAAGCTGAACCTTAAAAAATGTTTCTTACATGAATAGACTACAAAATCAGGGTTGTTTTTTTAACTTTGCAACTTCTTGTTCTAAAGCTAGAGAAACTGAGGCTTAGCTTATATAATAAGATCAAGTACCAGAAACTGACCATGGGAAAGACAGTTAATGAGTCTGGTTTAAGACCTTTAATTTTATTCCTGTCATTTTATTCCCTTTTCTCTAGATTCAGACAACCAGGACATGGCAATGAAGTCATTTGCAGCTCTAGAGGCTGCTGCACCTGTCCAGCCTATACCAGTGGTTCAAAAAGAGACCCTGATGTATCCCAGGGGTCTCTTGCCCCTGCCCTCCAAGAAGCCCTGTATGCAGAGCCCTCCCTCTCCTCTGGGCCTGATTGAAGCACCTGAGCATGCTGCTAATAGTGCTTCTGTGAATGCCATCTCCCTTACATCTGGTGTTGGAAAAGGCCTGAACACATGGTCACTGCCGAATGAGTGTGAGAAAGCTTCATTTGCCATAATGGAGCCTGCAGGCATGTCAGCTCTGAATGGGGACTGCCTCATGCAGCCAAGTCGGACTTGCTTGGGCTGCTTCATGGAATCCAAGGATGCAGTAGATCCTGAGCCAGGGATCAGTTTAAAAGTTGGTGATCTAAATAGGGATTACGAAACCTGTGCAGTCTCTGATATAGGGATTCAGTGTATTAATGCTGGAGAAAACATGAAATATGGAGAGCAGCTGCTCTCAGACCAGCTCCTGGGCTTCCCCCTACACAAATCAAGGGTGGGAGATAGACGAGAAGCTGAGAAACCTGACATTGACTTGGAGGATCCAGCTCAGAAAAGTTATTATGAGGCATTACTGTTAGATAAGTGCAACACGGAAGAGGCTTTACTGGCAAATTCCAATCAGGATTGGGGTTACTTTGAGACTTTCATTAGTGAGAGTAAAATTGAACTACTTGACCTTTGTTCCAAGAATGAGCTGTCTGTCAACCTATTTTCTGAAGAAGATGTGGATAACTACATGTTTGATGATGATGAGTCAACACTAGGCAGTGATGTCTGCTCCCTGAAAATTCGATATGAGTCCTTTCAGGACAATGTTCGAGACAAGACCACCCTTCTGATGCAGGAGGATGCCCAATTCAACTTTTTTCCCAGTGTCTTTACTACCTGCCCCAAGCGGGAGTCTAAGAGTGGGACCCTGAAGCAGAGCAGCGATCTTTCCCAATTCAAGGTCCCTGATATGAGCATCATCTGGGGGGAAGAAGATAAAAATCTGGACAAGAAGAAGGGCAAAGAAGAAGGACAGGAAGACAAAGGTGTGGAGAAAAAAGATGGAAAGGATAATGGAGAAAAATCTGCCTTAAGTAAATCATGCAGTGGGACTGAGGGAGGGCAACTTAAGAATCCAAAGCAGGGCCATCTTGCCAATTCCTTGGAGGCATCAGGGAATTTCAGTGATGACAGTTCCTTCATTGAGGTCTCTTATGATGCCATGGGAGAGATCAAAGACTGTACCCGCTATATGGCTCGGGACAATAATTCTGGCAGCTCCTCCTCCCAGCAGAACTATGGGCTGCGAGCAAAGAGAAAAGTCAGGTACAGTGAAGATTATCTATATGATGTTGACTCACTAGAGGGTGAAAAAGTAAATGAGAGGAAGGAATGGCTGCCAGGTGGTTCCAAAGAGGAAGATGATGATGAATGGTGTCCCAAAAAAAGAAGAAAAGTAACCCGTAAAGAGCCCCCTGTTATTATCAAATACATTATCATCAATCGCTTTAAAGGTGAGAAGAACATGCTGGTGAAGTTGGGTAGGGTGGATGCTAGTGAGACAACAGTGAATTTGAGTGAGCATCAGCTAAACAAGTATGCCAAGCTGGCACCCTTAAAGGGCTTCTGGCAGAAGAAGAAGAAGCAGAGAAACAGCAGCACAGAATCCAACAAGACACACTTATGCCCAAAGCAAAACTTTGAATCAGGTAGCTTTGAGGTGTCATTCCTGCCACCTACTCGCAAACGAAAATCTAAACTTGGCAGCAGGCACAGAATTCAAAGAATCCCATCCGTGGAAACTTCAGCAAGTGGTAAGCAAGTTTCATTCTGCAATGATCAGAGGCAAGCTAGTAGTCATAAGGAAGATGGAAGCCTGAAAGGTACACTGAAATCTCCTAACTGTGCAAATGGATCACATTTAAATGACATCACAGGCCCAGACTCAGTGAAATTCAAATCTCAAGATACAGAATTTAAGGGGCCAGAGAGAAGAGTGCTCAACAAAATCAAATTTAAAAGTGAAGCCAGATTAAAATCTAAGAAACTCAAAGCTGGGCAAGAAAGCAAGCCAGTTGTTCAGATGAGCCCTCTTTTGGAAGACCGATCCTCCAAGGATAATTTAAACAATGAAGCTGTTCCTGGGACCTCAAACAGTTCCCATTTATCTGAATTTCATGAAGCAAAGATTGCTAAGAATTCTACTTTCCTACCAACAACCTGCTCTTCTGAAATGCCTCTATCATCTGCTAATGTTGCCACCAATATACCTGTTATACCTGGAGGGTACCTGCAGACATTGTTAGATGCTTCTGACTTGTCAAATAATACTGGTATCTCATACTTCGCTCAACATTCTCCAGAACAAAATGAAGGCAGCCTCACTCAAACAGAAAAATCATTTGCACCTCTCCAGCCTTCCCAGGACTGCGTGCTTTCCTCACCTTCTGAGTCTGAGCTACAGCAGTCATCCCAAGATTTCAAAATGGAATCAAGCGACTATGAAAATGTGTGGCCCAACAAGCCTGCTTCTAGTCCCCAGAAATTCATAGCTGAAGTCTCAAGTGAGACAGCTCCAAACCAATCCAGTGAATTTGGAGTCTCCCAGGTAGTGTCCATGGAAAATAATCTCACAGCTACAACATACAATCCAATCTGTCTCAATAACAGTGGCAGTAGTTGCAGCAAGGTCCTGTATGCCTCTGTGCAAGACACCCATCTTGCATCTGATGACTCGTATCAATTGTGTCACTTTAATAACGCAGAGATCTGCTTTCCTTTCCAACAAGGCCCAGTCAATATAGATGATGGTCAACTCTTTAGCTTTGATTCCATGGCCCCACTCTCTGTCAATTCAGGCAATTATTGCTCTTTAAGCTTGAAATCCTGTGAAAAGGATGGTGATGATGATATCACAGATGACTTCCTGGCCCATTGCAGCCCTAAGCTGGTGATCCAGCAGAACACTGATGAAATAGCACCACTAAAGGAGTCCACTGACCTCCTGGATATCTCCAACTTCACTCCTGACAAATTTCGCCACTCTTCTCTCTCAGAGCTGTCCCCACCTGACACCCCCAGTATTTCCCCTCAAATTACCAGATGTGAGAGTACAAAGACATTAGGAACACTGAAAGGGTTCCAAGAGGGTGTTCCAGGACCACTGGGCAATATGGAGAAGATCAAGTGGGACTGCAGTACACTTTCACAGCAAGTCCAAGTGGAGGAAGGATTTTCTTTAAATGACCATCAGTTTCAGTTCCATATGTTCAACGATGAGGATTCTGTCAGCCTGCTCCAAAAAACCCCTTGCTTATCAACGTTTAATGATCCATCTAGTCAAATGAATACAAACAACAAAGTTTCAAAATCAAGAAAGAAAAGTTCACCCAACAAGAGTGGGGCTATGAACCAAAGCTCTTCTCAGAAAAACACCAGGAAAAAATCCCCCAAAGTCACCAACAAAGGGATTGAAAAGCCATCTGGTAAAACCTTCCGCCAGGTCCCTAAGTCAACAAAGAAAGGGAAATACATGGCTGCAATCAATGGAGAGAAAATACAAACTGACATTGGCCACGGGGGAGGTCAAATCAACAACATATCCTCCACAGGGAAGACACTGACTGAATGTATCCAACATGGTGATCCTGGGGCCTCTATGAAGATGACAAGTCAGAAGGGACTTTCTGGAGATTGGGCTTTGGGGAAAGACAGCAGCCCAGGCTGGAGCGACATGAGCATGGGCACCAACACCAACAACCTGCTAGATGATGACCAGCGGGAATTTCAGGAGCCTTCCTATATCTTGTCCAACATTGCCTCTGGTATGGCAGATGTGCAGAGATTCATGATGGCCTCCATAGAGCCCCTTTGGGAACCAATGCAGCACCATGGGGACCCCAACATATTATATTCCCCTGAGTCCAATAGTCTAAAATTAAAAACACTCAAAATATTGGCTGGGACACCACAGGAATCTAAGAAAAAAGTCAACAATGGGTCACCAGGAGTCACTAAGAATCACAGGTCCGTCAAGGGTGTGAGTAAAAGCAATGGGAAAGCAGCAATAGGTGATCCTGGTCGTGCAAACATGCCTGGTTATAACGAGGACTCTCGCTCTGCCTTCTTTGATAAAAAGTATAATAACCTGAGCACTTTAGGCAATAATGGACCTACACACAAAAAGTTATATCGTCACAAATCCAGCTCCAAGGCCTTGAGAGATGAGAAGTGTAAGGGAAAGCGCATGGAGCGAGAACAGGTCCACAAGGATGAGGCTGGGACAGCTTCTTTTGAAAAACTGAGGTAATACTGCACCAAAATGGCTGAGATGATGCACCCTTAGCTTTTCTACTGCCTGCTAAGCCTTCAGTCTGTCATTTTTTCCCCTCTTGAAAGCAAAAGTTTGCATGAAAGAAACTGCCTGATTCCCTTCTTTTATGAATTTTTTTAAAAGGTAAAAGTGCATGAAAATCCCTGTACCTTTAAGCTACCCAAAAGATTGGGCAATTTTGTTGTGTCTTGGCTAAGTACAAGCTCTAACAAAGCTACTTTTTCTGCTATTCAATGTTAGTTTTTACTTATTGAGAAAATAGAACAAAAATGTACTCTTGAATAATTTGAGGGAAGGGAAGGGCTTTGCAGAAAGAGAAAATTTCAACAGAAGAATGAAAAGCCAAGATTATTTAAGCAAAAAGAATGTAATTTGGAAAACAAAATTTCATCATTCAGCAAGTAGAAGTGCTTTCTAGTGCCCCCCGCTATTTGCATCTGTTTCTGCATCATACAGCATCTACTATGACATAAACAGATTTAGATTTTCTGATCCCTTTTTGGGACATACAGTAAAACTAACTAAAATGGAATAAATTGTTTGGTTTTTCTGCAGGGATTCCGACTACAATCTCCTAAAAGCAGAAACAGCATTTTGGGTTTTACCTGTATTTGAAGAAGAGGCTCGCATTTTCCAGAAAGACATTTGATGTTTGTATTTTATTTCTTTCAAAATATGCCTTGTGGTATGTATGTTGACATGTAAGTGCTTAAAGAAAAGAGTTTTTAAGTGTGGGAATAAGTCTTTGGAAACAAACTTTAATCTGATATTCTATGTAAAAGACTTTAAAAGTCACACAGTTGCACAAGTAGTTTATGCACTATTTACCCAAGGGGAAAAAAAGGAAAACATTGTGCCAAACTACAAACAAGTGACTCTATTGTATATATTTTTACTTCTATATCAACATTTGGTTGTGAGTATTTGGGGAGCTTGTCCCTGTCGATTTACTAGAAACATTCCAGTGACTCTTGCTATTAACCACCCCCACCTTATGTGGATAGCACCTATAGATCACAGTGAAAAATATGTTGTGCTACATAATTTACCAAAACTTAAAGGATACTGTTTGAAATGTGCCAAATTTCTTTACCTCATCTCACAGATTCACCCCACAGTTTAAAGATCATTAATAAATTTTAAAATATATATATATATATATGTGCATACATACATTATTTAAATGTTTTAAGCTCTACTGTCCTATGTGGAAACATAAAGAATTAAACATGGCACAATATAGGTTTGTTTGTTCCATTGCCTGAGGGTTAAAATGTTGGAAAAGTCTGGAAGTCACAATGGCTAAGTCCATCAGGGACCCAAGCATATACATTTACAGAACCTTTTACAAGGAAATAAAACAGCTGATTTAAAGTTTGTTTTCTAAAAGCAAAATCTGTAGCTGAAAATTATTTAAAGTGCAAAGTTATATTGCTGATACTTTATATCTCAGTTTTATATATTTTATAACGGTCTGGGATAAATTATAAAAAAACTATAAAATCAACACTAATGATAAATGAAGTACGTAGCTTGCTTTTATTTATTTCCTACATGTTTTATTCCAGTTTTGTCAAAAGTGCACTCATATCATGGCTTTAGTTGTTCTCTAAGTGTTTAATCTTGCAATGCTAATGTTATTTAAAGAAAATGTTATGATATTTCGGTACAATTGCATATATATATAGATATAGATATATATATCTATATATATCTCAAGTCAACTAACAGTTTATGGTAATGACTGATTTGGGCCATATATACGTAGTCTGAGGATGACTAGTATTTGATGCCACATACTAAACTTAAATTTCACTTTTTTACATATATTTTTGAAATCACATTTTTTATTCCGTCCTACCCCCCTTTTTTAAAATTTCACAGCTCCAACATCCCTCACTACTAGCTTTTTCTTCCCCTTTATTTACCACTTTACTTCTAACATTTGATCTATTTTCCTTGCACAGTTGAAGGCCTGTGTGTCTGATGACTGATGCATTATGGCACAGATGAGATAATGGATATGAAAGCGCTTTGTAGATCGTAAAGTGCTATACAGATATAGGGGATTAATATTATTAATGTTGTTGGTTGTTGTTGTTGTTAACCTTACTATTCTTACTAATATTATTACTCACCTATTACCTTTTGAATATATAGCCTGTGGGTGGAAGGGTGGAGAATAAGTGGGTGGGGGAAAGGGGGATTTTTAAAAAGGGGGGGAAATGTTTCAGAAGGAAAATTTAAGCAAAATATGAATCTACCTAGTTATTGCCACCGAAATATATTCAGAAACAGAGGAAAAAACATTTGAAAGTAGTCAGAGACAAATGGATGGAAGCCTGTCACATATATTGGCATACACACTTCCCAGTCCATGATTCATTTCACCAGCCTGCTCTACTACTTATAGCTAGGTTGTAAAATGAACAAGCCTGTGTTTTTGATGGTGTGATTGTGTGTATCTGTAGGGATGAGTGGGTGAGGAGCATTTTGTGAAGCTGCTTCAGGCCTGTTTCTAGGCTTTGATGCTCTGTATGTAATGAGTCCTGGAAAATCGGTTACTGAAAAGGCACCACATGAAACATCTCCTGCTCTGCAGCTGCCATCCAAAAGGAAAAATAATCCAACTAGACCAATTTCTTCTATTTCCCCACTCTGATAACTAGCTGTTTGCACTAAATTCTATGGCTGGTTCCTAGGAGCTGGTATTCGTTCTGTTTTTGTTTTTTCTATTTTGCAGCTGAATTTTGGTTTGGAATCACCAACTCTGCCTATATTGTGATCCCCATGACTCCAGACTTCAAAGTCACCTGCTGGCAATTAAAAGAAGAAATAAATAAAATGTTCCATGAGTACAATGTGTTTTATAAAAAAAAGTAAATATGGGAGCAGTTGTCCAGTTTTTTCTCAGTATCAGTTCAGCTTTCAAGAAGGGGTGGGTGGGACAGAAGGACAACCTGAAACTACTGAAAACAAACAATTTTCTTGCTGTCATTAGTCCTTTGCAATAGATGCTCTTTTAGTTTCTCCTGTGAAGCTCACTGGGGGGCCAAGTCTAGGGCATGATTCATCCCTTTCTCCAAAAAGAATTGCCATTTTAAAGTACCTTTTAAAAATTGACCTTCAGTGTATTATAAGTTTTTAACATATAAATTAGTGTCCGGTGACCAATCACTTTCTATTACAATATAACAAGAAACTGAGTTGGAGTAATGATCAATAGGACAAGTCATAAGATGCTCATTCTCTTAATTATACTTAATATCCCCCTCAGTACATGATGTTCTGACTTCGGTTTTTAGGGTTTTGTTGATACTGTCTCTCCTCTGAAAATTCTTTTTTTCCTGTCACAACATAGTAGGCCTGACTTTTTGGAGATCCCTTATTCAACCAACTGCCTTAGTGGAGTGAGAACCAGTGATATAAAAATAATGTTTTGCCCTAACACTGATATCTCAAGTCAGATGTATGAAATTTTCCTTGGTCTGAAATTCCTGACTGCCGCTACCTACAAACATGTCCTCTCTGAGAAGCTGCTTCTTATTAATGCCTTCCCCAATGAATCCCATTTAATTTTTACTTTCCCAGAAATGGTATTCTCTCTTATTTTTCTTACTTAATCTCAGTCCTTGGTCTTACAGTTTTTTTCTTTTATAATCTCATATTCCACCTCCCCAAAGTGTCAGACTGTATGAACCTTAGCCAGCCTACTCCCCTGTGGAAGTTCAAAGAAGAAACTTCTCACTCCTAATTACCTTTAATTGCTTTGATCACTTTCAAATCTAATTTTAAACACACATTCACACACACGCACAGAATTATGTCACATGACTGAGGAAAGTTGGAAATTCCTTTTCCTTGAAAATCTGTAATAATAGATCTGATCCCCTTTCTATCCTAGTTAGGTGCTGGACTGTGTGGAGAAAGGTGCTGAAACAGTAGCCTTGACCAAGGTTCTTTGAGACTTTGGGATTATATTTGGGCTGTGATAACTGGCATGAATGGCCTCTCTGGTGTCTCATATACCACCTTCCTATGCTGCTTCCTTCCATCTTTCTCTTCTGACTTCTTGTTACTCTGTGCAATTATGTGTTAAGGCCTTACCATTTCCTAATGTTTTCAAACACCCTGCACTACCTTGACCATCACTTCTTTAGTTATTCCCCTAAAGTCCTTGGTGCTAGGTGGGCTTTCGTGACAACTTTCATCTTCTCTGTCTTTGCTGGGATGCATTGGTATCTGCTAAAGGGGGGGAGGTAAGTGTGTGCATAACAAAAATAGCATAAAGGATGCTTCACAAGCTGTAAGCAATTCTGGCTAGCATCTTATGTTCTGTTATGTGAAGTTCTGCAGTTTCAGTGAATTTCCAGTTTAGTGGGTTGTAATCAGCATTTACTGCCTAAAGGAGAAAAACCATACCCAAGGACCTCTTAACTAAGCTTGCTCTTACCAAGTTGAACCATTTTGATGCATATCTGCCACATCTTCAATTTACAGATGCTCTCAGACCAGCCCCAAGAATTGAAGAGAGCTAAGTTTCTGCACCGAAGAGGAGAATGGAGCACTAGCTAGTCCTAACTAGTGCTAGAACTAGAAATGTTTGTTGAGAAATTAACTAATTTAAGGAGTTTCTGTTTTCATTTAGAGATTTTTAAAATGACTACCCATCACTATAGGAATATGTCTTTTTATTATATAAAACTAATGTGAGGTTTCTTTTCTAATCATAAAATTCACTGAGCAAATCATTATGTTGAGAAGGTTTAGTACCAAAATCAATCATCTTAGTAATCAATCAAATAGGGATCTTGTCAATACAATGTAGGCCAGGGATTTTGTAAAGGTGTCTCGAGTACCTGAATAAAAGAGAAAAAATTGTCTTGGCTGTTTAAACTTGGGAAACACGGTCACCTGCTTGAGAGTCCTCAGCCAGCATGGCATTATTTTGATGACAGCGCTCAGGCTATCCTTTAAGGCACATTATTTTTTTTACTTGGAGAGTTAAACAGTAACTACAGTCATGAAGCAGAGCCCCCATTACAGATACATGATTCTTGAGATGTACTCTTGGTTTCAGAATCATAACTAAAATGTAAATGTCATTAGAGAAGGACAATGTAAAAGAAAGAGGCTTAGTACAAAGTTGAAGGTATGAATGAGGCTTTTAAAATTAGTATCTGGGTGAATAGATACTAACACTAACACTCATCAACAAGAGATAGAAAGTTTGTATGTCCATCTAACAGGCTCACTGGTTTCTGAGTCTTAAAAAGACATCCCCCTCAAGAAGAAGAAAGGAGATATTTAAATCATTTTGCCTCTTTGAGAGACACCTGGTTTTACAGCACAAAGGGAAAAGGCTTAGAATGAAAAGTAGAAGAGGCCTTTTGTTTTTGACTCCCAGTGAGGGGTGAGAAAGCTTAAGATGCTCTACTGGGATACCTGTAGCACTGACTAGGGTTTGATGCCTACAGAGTTTTGAATGTACTAGTCCTTAATTTAATTTCCATAAAACTGAATGCACCTCTTTGGTAAGTTACTGATTTATGGTGCTAAAAAAAACTATTATCCCCATTTTCCTCTTCTCCCGAACCCCTTAAATATTTAAGAAAATTTAAAATAAAAGTGTTAGAGGCCCTTTTTATGAATGTAACCTGAGTTTCTGTTTGATATATGACACTCCAACTTTAAAAAGTTAGGAAATTATTTGCCTTTTTTCTTTTAGAGTTAAGTTTTATAAATAATCTGTAGAGTCAATTGAAGTATAAAGCTTAAGGATCAGTCTTAAGACGCCTACAAAATCTTGTATATTTTTAAGTGTGCCAATTTGTAACATATTTTGTAAGTGTATATTTTTCTTAGAAAAGTGCTGTGAAGTGTCTGTATGTGAGAGTTTTCCTTTTGTGCACCACTAGGTGCTAATAAAAGGATATTTACTTCAAAGTTTCTGGTTTTAGAAACCACAATACAAAGAAAAAATACACTTTTGTTGGGAATTTTGTAACACAAAACATGTTGTGAAAGAGTATAGTGATCTTGTGCAAAAGAAAATGAACATTTGTGAGCTTCTTGCTGTTTTATAGATTTTCTTGTAAATTATTCTTGTAACACCTCTGGTTTTGTTGTTCTTGTTGCAAAGGTTTTAAATATTTGTGA